TGGTGGTGGTGGTGGTGGTGGTACCTGCGTCTTCCTACCTGGTAGAGCTTTCTGTATGGATGTCATAGAGAGTAGAGAGCATTGTGTGGGCATGCAGTTGCAGGGTCCACTGTTTTTGGGGGCTGGGGGGGCGCACAGGATGTTCTGAAGGTAGAAACAACTGATCGGCTACATAGCAGGCAATTCAAGTGTCCCGCAGTATTGGTTGCCCAAGGCTGCTCCGAAAAAGCGCAGGCTGAATGACAAACTAGTGAGGATGAGAAGAACTGTTTGAGGACTTTTGTTCACGGATTCGTTGAAGCTAGCCCAGCCTAGGGGGAAGTGTTGGGGGGTGAAAAGCCGGGGCTTCTTAGGACCCGGCAGCCTTCCAGAAGGGGATGTAGAGAGGGGTCCCATGCTGATATCGGGGAGGCCCAGGCCAGCAATATTTTCATAGAAGCCATCAAAACCCTTTATGGGCCCCTAGCTGAATCCGAAGCCCCAACCCCAAAACCCCAAATTCCACTTTGCATGCGAAACTCTGCCTGCAGCGGTTAGCCCGAGGCTTGGTCCAAGGAGAGTTAAGGAGGTTGGGCTCTAAGCCTCATTCCCAAAGCCGCAGCCCAAAGCTAGAACTGAACCCAAAGCCCAAGGCCTCGAACCCCAGCCTTCACATGCCCTCAAAACTGGGAGATGCACTGTTATTCCCGAAGCACGGCGCCTAAACCGGGAGTGGGGAATTAGTGTGTCAGGGTTGAGAGCTCAGACGCTCTTGGCGGGAGAAAGGAGGAAAGATCAAACCTCAAAACCTGGAACTCTGAACCTGAATGCACGCCCTGCAGCCCTTATGGCTTAGGATTAAGGGCCTGGGGTTCAGGCTTCGATGATCTATCACTTGGTTTGTAGGCTTAGGGGCTTAGGCTTTGCGGTCTAGGGGTTTAGGTTGCAGGGTTCCAGCCATTCATCCTGTTTTGCCCTGGAGGCTACAGGGAGCCCGTTGCTCAGATCACCCGGGAGTATCTCGAAGAATCCTTGTGTGATCCTTGAGGGGCCACCCTAAGCCCACTTATCCCTGATTGATCCCAGGCGGAAACCCCAAGCCTATAAGGTTGCCATCAGCCTGTATTTCAAGAACCATCCCATTTTCAGGGCCAGAGAAAATCTTCTGTACTCTTAAGCCCCAAACTCCCGTCATGCATCAAGTTGTGATGTTTCAAGCTTGGAGCCATTTGGGCGGCTGTGTCAGTAAGGTCCGCCCAAAACCCAAAATCAGAGCAGGGGCAACCATCAGGTTCTGTAAGGGCAGGGACAAGCATGCAAGTTCTGTAAGTCTTTACCTTCCGTGAACTATCAATCATGAGGCTTGTGTTCCGACTCAACAGGGCAGCA